TTTTGTTCAAAGTCAGTGAATGTTGAATTCCACTCAAATCGGGTTAGCCGTATGAATCGATACAGAATTGATTTTTAGGGAAAACAAATAATCGATTTGGCTTCAGCCGCCTGGTCTAACTACGAGGTAGAATACCTGACAGTTGCTGTTTTAAAAGTTCATACTCTGTATAATGTTTTTTCTCGGTGTCTTTACTTCATCATTTCATCAAGCGTTGATCGAAGGAATGAGAATGGACGAATTCAGTTTACTGACTTAGTAGCGTTTGTAACGTTGCTTCAGACATCCACCAAGCTTCCACGTACACCAGCTGTGATCGGCGATGGAAAGCCTATGTTATCAGGCATGTTCCTGTTTTGTTAGTACGCGACAGATCGTCCGCAGCGGCGCAAACGCCATGGTCACGAGCTTTCATTGAGTTGGCATAGGCGTCCTCTACAAAACTGTGGAGAGACTTGAACCTTATAACTTCGGCCGACCCTTTTGTGATCCAAGTTCCGTGATGTGTCAGAAAGAAGCCTTTGTCTGGCGATCGTGCAGTCTCTGCTCCATCTGAGCAGCGACAGAAGAACAAGATAGTTTGCGGTGGCCGCTACACTTTCGGATGACAGTAGCGGATAAATGAATGTACAAATTCACAACCGCATCGGAAAGGCACGCATCGTGCAACTGAGTAGATGCAACCTTTGACTCATGGCTTTCTGTGATCGTCCTTGACGCATTGATGGTTTCATAGTTTGGGGCAGGCATATGGTTACAATTTTAAGATGCTCTGAATTAGGTGAGGCCTACAGGAATGTCACACAGTAAACAGTATTGGGTTGACATTTGCTGTTTACTCAAGTTCGCTCACCTTCTCCTCTTTCCTCTCACTGCGTTCTTGTCTTCAGTGGGCAACGTGCAGGTCACCTGCTACCGCATCTTGAACGCATTGTACAAACTGGGGACTACAAGTTCGAAACATGCCAGTCGGTAAGCCTGTCAATCAAAGTTTGAAATTAGATCGAATGTGGTAACTGAACCATCATGGCACTGTGTAGATGACTTTCATCTTTCATCCGGAGTAATGATTGAGGAAAAACGATTGCTCACTTGGAGACTGTCAGAGAACAGCGTCTTAATTCCCGTTCCGTTAGGGGCAAGCCACTGCCGTTTATCGATCGAGGAGGCATATGAACACCTTGGATTCATCGTGAACATGACATTACACTCTCTCCTCCTGCTTTTCATGTATTAATTTCCGTGGTTAAATCTCAAGTTCGGTTAAGTGTAAGCTAGGATGACGACATGGCGCTCACTTGCTGAGTTCCAAGAAGAGCGAAATCGGCAGTTGCCGAAAAAGTTCCTTCCATCGTTGGGTTCGTTCTCACTGGTAGTGCTCTCCTGATCCCCGAGCTGGACTATGAGAAATCTTCATTCGAATTGATCGAAAGTATGGTTTGTCAAGATTACCTAATCTCTGTTTGTATCGATGCGTTTTCTTTGCGTTACCTGATTCATCCATTCATTCTGTGTATTTTCGTGTTTTTCAGAGGCAGTTTTATGGAGGAATTGAACAGGTAAGTTGTTCTACATGCAATGTCTATTGCATGATGAACGAAGTATTCCACTGTACTTAGGTCTGGCACAACATGAGGGGAGTTTGAGGTTGCATAACTGCAGTGGCACAACAGAAAAGCCTGAGTTGGGTTCGGACGAGGGACCTTCCGGTCAGCGACTCCTTGCTTTATTCGTCCGACTATTCTGAACCCCTTGCTTACTCATTCCTTGTACGAACTACACACTTTGGGAGTATAGTATTATGTTTTCGACTCACACACACACCTGATAGCTTTCGCTTCTTGTTTCCTCAGGAGAAAAAAGTCCTGCGTACTAAAATGTAAAAACGTATCAAAATAACAGATATGAGCCCTTTTATGGCCATCCTTCCGTTGTGGCTCTTTTCGTTTCGCTTACATTGACTGGCACATCTATTCCAGTTTAAAATTCTGAATAAGTTAAATTTTTATCAAATGTTATACCACTGTAGTATATGAATAAGCAAGTCGGAAGCACACAACCGGCAAGCTTCTGTCAGTTGTAGATAACTACTGGCTACTAAACTCAAGTTTCTCTCCTGTTGGACCTCAACGCAATCCGTATTCTTGTCTTTGATGCAAGAGCGCCAGTGACTGCATGATCGGGCCATTTCCGCCAATGTCATGGACCATTGGTGAATGGAGTCCCGGGTTCTCATCCAGGGAAGTGCTAGCTGCCGACCCGACTAAGCTGACTGGTTAGTGTTTTCGTACTTCGTTGCCAGGTCATACACTGTCCACCGGGATTTGATCTCGGGGTACCCGAAGTGCGAAGCAATCATGTCAGTTCACGTTGAATGCGATTGTGTTATCACGTCCGAACAAGCCAGTATGTTCGTGCCTAAGGATTGCATGAAGAATAACCGAAATGGCTGCGTCAGTACACGAAGAGGGCTGTCCAGACAATAGCTTTGTGAAAGCAAACCACAGAGGTCTCCCAGTCGCTCACAAGTCTCCGCAAATTCAACGGTCCATAGGGCTACTCAGCACTGGAATTTCTGATTCATACAAAGTTGTGCTTCAAAGGTGCAACGGAATGAATGAATATCATCGAGCATACTACGAGAACGATGGATTGTACGAATACGATCGAATTCCTGCTCGAAAAATCACGTGATGGCAAATGGTAATCTGAACAGCTGTGCAAGTGCTTGCATCCGATCTGGGAATATAGTCACGGAAGATATGGTAACGAAAAAACAAACAAAAATCTGATCGAACCAACGTGAGGAAAAAAAATTATCGACTAACGATAAGACATGTGTCGTTTAGGATCTTCTCATGGCCTACTCGGCTTGGCGACATGGCTCAAGTGGTTAGAGCGCGAATTTACTGACCGGAAGGTCCGTGGTTTGAACCCGACCTCTACCTTTCGACTTCCCCTGTCTAGGCTTGGGCAACCTGGCAGTATCCCGGCCCTCGTGCTTCCTTCGGGTAGCATGGTAATTAGGCACCGGAAGGTGTTACAGCCGGGAGATTCTACTCAACTACTCGAATATGTATTGTCCTAACATGACTGCCTCAGAAGGGCCTCCCTTATCATCTTTGTACTTAAGACTAAAATAATATATGTTACAGCTTATGCAGTCTGAGTTGCACCATTATACAGTCGTTTTTGACTTGCAGGACCGCAGAAACTACCTTTAGACCATGAACTGATTCTTGGATAGACTCCGTACTGCGAAGTTTGTAAGAATGTGTGGATACTTTTGTACGCCCACTCGTGTGAACTTTTCCCTCCCTGAGTCCACCCTTTGAGCAGCACTCATTTGGTCTTCACTGAGTAGACAGTACTCTGTATGTAGGGGAGAACCACGGAAGACACCGTCATACTTCATGGTCGTCGGAATAAGACAGACTCTAAAGCGGGGTGTATTGGAAACGACGTGTATTTAGTTGAGTTCTGCTGGTATGTTGCAATCTAACAGAATTAAGCGCCCACTAACCGAAGCCCATTTAGCTCGCAGTTGCCTTGGTCATTCTCACATAACATTGCAATCTAACAGAATTAAGCGCCCACTAGCCGAAGCCCATTTAGCTTGCCTTGGTCATTCCCACATAACAACACCGAGGCATGAGACATCTTCGGCTTGATGCCGCTTCGCAGCGAATGATGTAAGTTCATACTGAACTGGAGGCGCCGTGTTACTACATATCGCGTTTGATTTGAATATTTTTCAGACATCGTGCCCAAATCGGAGATTGCCTTGCTGCGTTGGCCGGTGCTTTCCCAGTGGCCTTCTTGGAACCGGATCTCAACCGTAACAATCCACTTTCCATTACGTACAACAACACCGGTGGCGACTATAGCCTTGAAGCACGCGGTAGGTCATCGGTGTGGTGGGACCTCGTACTCATGTGAATTGAGTATTTTGTTTGTTGAAACAGGAAATAAACGCTACTTTCCCTCCCCCCACAGATGTACTCGGTGAACTGTCTAAAACATTGGTCGGGCTACCAGAAATCATCCGACAAGTGGAATGCTTGGCCGACTCCGGGGTCTCTGGTGCCGCTGAAGCCCCACATCTCATCGAGGTGACCCTACCCATGCTGTGCTCGTATCTGCCGACCTGGTGGCGCAAAGGCCCTGAGTGTATGAAACAGTATGGCTTCGAAGGCTTGAGACGTTCACCTTCGGACGAAGCGCAAGCCATGGATCCGACAGCTGCTGAAAGAGAAATGCAGGTGAAGGCAGCGTTACCCGAGCGTTTGGCCAGCATTGTCGCTCCACTGACGACAGTCACGGCTGACCTGATGAACCGAGTGCTGGGAAGTGTGTTGCAGTTGATCCAAAACAATATCGATTCGCCTCATGCCCCTTGGATGACCCGCATCGCAAGTAAGTCGGTAGCCACACTGCTTAAGCGCCAGCGAGTTCACTTTGTTGTCGTACCACATCTTCTATAGAGGTACTTTGATTTTTTCACTCGGAAGCTATTTTTTAACACCGGTCCAGACAGCGTTGTACGGTACGTCAGTCTCACAGCTCACGTACTATCCTACTGGCCTGGAGCACAGGAAGCTGCTAGTCCAGCTTGGCTCATACGCTTTTTACCCGTTCGCTCACCGCGGTCAGTATGCTACCACATACAGCATCTGAGTTCGTTGAGGAGTCTGACCACAATTTCTACTTGAATCCTCGCCGTAGATCTGACTAAATGCCCTGTACAGAATAACCTGGACCTTCCTCTTCCAAACTTTTAATTCGCCCGGGTGATCTACAGAACTTTCAGGGTTGATCATTTGCTGATCTGAAGATGTGCTGAGTCCACGGCTTCTATGAAAAGTCACTTCGAACAGCAGCTCCTGTCAATTCATGGGATTCATCACACTGACTTTAATCTCTATGAGGCTAGGAAAGAGCACCGTTTGGCCATCAAAGC